GAAATAAACTGAACGCATAATGTGGGGAATATGAAGACATGAAGTAGGTTATATCAAAACCAAAATTTTATAAAATAACCAAACTCGAAATTCCTATAATTTTTTTAACAAATTTTGAGTTATATTATGGTTACATTCAAAAATGACGTTCCTCTCTCGACTAAATTTTTCATATCATCAAATTGCTCCTCAACTCCATATTCCATATATGTACCTAGTGAAATGTTCAATATCATCTACTTAATTAAGCACCCTGGCTTCGTCATCAGACTAGAAATCCATAAATCAGTTATTTATAATAAATTGTTTAATGTATTGTGTAAAAATAAAGGAAATACAAAATATTGTACATAGTCATAAAGGTATATTAGGCATTAGGGCAGTGTATTATTTTATTATGGATTGTGGAAAAAGTACGTTTCGCCATTAAGTGTCGCATAAATAAAAGTGACATTACTTTTACAAAGTAATATCAGAATAGTCATCGGACTAAAACCCATAAATCGGTTATAACTCATAATAATTAATTAATATAATATAATGTACAAGTAAAGGAAATACAAAATATTATAATACATAGGTATATAGAATTAGGCATTATGGCCGTGTATAATTTTATTATGGACTGAGGAAAAAGTATGTTTGACTATTCAGTATCATACATAAAAATGACATTATCTTTACAAAATAATAATTTTAAATTATGTATAATTATTCCAATTTCCTACTAATATTTTAAAATATATTTTTAGAATTTTAGATGTTGCTTATTCGTTTAAAAGATTTTCTTGCAGATGTTATTTTTTGTATTAACAGCTCTTTTTTGAGGATGATTTATTTATAATATTGTTTTCAAATGTGAACAATTTAATTTTTATTATAAATTTAAGAAAGATATTTGTTTAATATTTCTTATACTTTTTACTAGTCAACAGGATTTTTTTAAACGATATAAAAATATATATTACATTCGTATATATCTGCAAAAGATCTATTAGAGTCGTGCATTAATTATTATTTAATTAGTAGATTGATATTGTCTTAAATTGTATGTTAACATATATAAAAACAAAAACTTAATTTAAATACCTATTTGTAACAAAAAAATTCTGAAAATATTATTACATTTCATCAAGTTATATTTATATAGGTATTCCACAAAAATTAATATTACATAATAATTAATGGTAAAGAAATACGAATAATAATTATTTTTAATTTTATAGCGACCTAACCTAATATCCAAATAAGCATTAAATCAAGCTATTTGAAGACTAACCATTTTTATAATATTTGTTGATAACCATTTAAGCATGAAAATTAGCGAATTTAATGTTCCCAATGTAGGTATGCCTATTTAATTATATTTAATTGCCTACTTGACACAATATATATATATTATATATTATATTGTTTTCTTCCAAACTAGTAGTATTAGTAAATTGTAGGTAACAACTAATTAATAGTTAACATAACAATATAGTCACAATTATAATATTTTTAATTACATTTTAGGAATTCTTCAAATCAAGCAATAACTTTTTACCCATCACGTGTTCAGATATTCAGCGGTTAATATTATTTCTAATTTATTGAGCAACATTTACACTGAGTTCCGAAAACGATAAAACGTTTTCATTAGTTTTCACACGTAAAACAATAAGTTTCTAAGGCAGTAAAAATTTTTACACATTCGACAAGTGATAATCTGAGCCTAGCCTACCTACATAAACATACAGAGTGTTTCACCAAGCATTAAAACCTCCATTGTTTTCTTTAATAATTAATTAATTCAAATTCCAATTTTTAGAATTTTTAAGCATGCCTATACCTACCAAATTTTAAAATATTTCGATTTTTACACCAATGTATAGTATTTTGTGGTAATATAAACTTATTCTATAAAGAAAAAAATAAGAATCAACCTTTTTTTCTATACATTGTAAGACGATAACTTTTTTTAAAAATATAAATGATCTAAATTTAAATTCGAATGCGGAGTTTTGGAGTTACTTTAACTTTGTGTAGGTAGATACTAAATTTCATAGGTTTGGGAGAAAGACTATTGGTATTATGACGATTTGAAAATGATAGATATTAAAATAATTCTATTAACATTTTATAATATATACAAGTTGTCCTAGTATAATTTTAACTTAAGTGCTAAATTAAAAATTACATCTATTTTATACTTTGAAAAACTATTTTTAAGAACTATTATTATAAGAAACAATACAAATTTTAACTACCCAAAAACAATTCGTTTAAATTTCGATATAGAATTTAACATATTTCTCCAAAAACAGTTGATTCTTATTTTTTTTAAATAAAGGATTTTCTATCATCACATGACATACTACACTCCTTAAATGGTTTGAACAATTTAAGTTTTTGAAAATATGGTCCTACTTATAAATTCCAAAAATCAAAATTTGAAAAAGGCAAACGATGTGTAGTTAAGCATACTCAGAGTATCCCCCTGTATATATAATATATAATGTATGTCCGCGAAACCACATTAGTTTGTGGCTTGTGTTATCTCTATCTTTCTTTTTTTTTTTTGTTAATAATTTATGGTTTGTACAAATAAAACAAGATATTTAAATAGATAACCAATAGAAAAATTATTTTAATAACATTCGTGACGGTTGTCGGCCACGTATATATTGGGTGTATTTACATTTCGTCCGTGTACAGCTACGCTGCAGCAAACATAATATTAGGTATACCTATTGGGCTATACTACTTTTATGTTTTATTATTAATTTGTAGGTGCATAATAATATCGTTTTGCGATGTCCGAGTAGTGAAAACGCAAAGTGTGAATCAGAGAAACGCCGTCCCTCGATTACAACATAATAGAATAATATATAATATTTTATATGCAAGTTAACTAATATTCGACTTTGGTCGAACGAAAGCTGGTCCGAAGACTTTCACGTGCGACATATTTTGTGTATATAGGTACTAACGGTTATCGGTATAAAGTTTTATTTAGAAAACATTTTATATCGTTTCTAGTCGCGTCTAGTATGACGTATAGGGATACAACACTGCAGCGATATTATTATACGCTCAAGGGAGACATATACAATATAATATAGATACCAACCACCCCTACTTCGCGTAGGAGGTATGCACGTGAAAATGTTTTTCGTCCATTGTGATACATGAAAATGTATACGTACAATATGTGTGTGTGTGTGTGTGTGTGTGTGTAGAAAAAGCAGCTCGACGCGAGCCGAATACAGCCGCGGTAGGTAGTATTAGATTATCGACGAAAACCGGGCGCTTGCGCGCGCGAAAAGCCCTTTTTCTCGTCCGGACACGCCCACACCGTCTCGTCCAATCCATTTCGTGCGCCGGACAAGGGTAGTCTGACGGAATAAACCCCTGAATTATTTATCCCCCGGGCCAAAATTCATACGCACGTAGGTGGATATTTATATATAATATATAGATAGATAGAGTCGGTCGGTCGGCCTCGCCGTCATGTACACAATATATAATAATAATAATAATACGCATTTTACTCGATGACAGTTTTCCCACGTACACGTAGGACCTATATATATATATACCTACACACGTATATGGTACCTGCCTGCATAATAAAACGCTCAGGGACCTACGACCTGCCTACGCGTACATGCAGGTTTGATATTTCTGTCCATCTTTCGAAACTTATCAAGGGGGATTTTTGTTAAATCGATACGCGCGGCGCAGTGCCATCCTGCAACTGCGATCTATTATAATATTATTATACGTTTACCCGCTGCAGCAGGCGATTATAAATGACTAATAATAATATTTCGTTCACGAATCACGCGAGCGACGTTTCTTAATGGCCGAACACATTTTTCATAAACCAAGCTGGGGGGGTTTTATTGTTATTGTTATTGTAATGATTGCATCATACGAGATTTGAGCAACATTGAATATCGTAGAATTTTCGTAATAACACTATATGCTGATTCACTGATCTTTTTGCTACGCTCAGCTCCATTGTTCACAATAATATGTAATACTTATAATCTATAACGATAATCGGTAAATCAGTACCTACATATAGATATTATATAGGTACTAGGTAGGTACAATTAATACACTATGAAACAAGCGTTTATAGCTTCAAAAAAAAAAAATCTAATATTCAATGAGTATATGACAAAGTATATGGTCAAAGCTTGAAGTAAGTTAAGGTCATTTTTTATACACGTTAACTGATAATTTAATTAGGCAGATCCGTTAAGGTCATGCAATATTATATATAATGTATCGAAACATTGTTCTACGATTCGCTTCGGCATTGGACTACTACACGAGTACAAATCGAATAAAAAAAGCACGTTGAGCATTGATAAATATTACACTATATTATACTCTCGTGTTTTTGTTTAAAAATACAAAAAATGCTTTTTTAAGTTGTATGTATAGTTTTAGATTATTTATTATATTTTCTGTGCATATTTTGTAATAAATGTTCATGAATGATTTTGAAAATAAACACACGCGTACAATGGTGAGTTTTGTACAGGTTGATAAGTTCCCACATCAGAACGGTTAAAGGGCTCGTGACGCTTCCTATTCATAGAGAAATCATTTTCGTAAAGCTAATAATACGCACTGGATACAATACAATCGTTTCTCCCCTTCAGAAATACTGCAGGCACCTTTACGACGCATAATAATATGTAAACCATTATCGGAGTGTGTCAAGTGATTAATAATCCAACAACACTCAGGTAAACGAACCCCTTTGCCGGTATTGAAGGGTGGAAAAATCGAGAATGAACCTGCCCCGATATCCTGCACGCATGTGCCCGGAAGTTGGTTGTTATAATCGGTCGGAAACGATCTCGGGGGAACTTGATGATCACCCCCTAAACAAATGCGCACCCCTGGGGAGCAGTTAACGATTTTTTAAATCTTCTGCCGATCTAAAAACAAGTGTGAATAAAAAATTATAGACAATATTCGTTTTTTGCTTGCAGTAAAACATGTTGGACATCAAGAGGTCAATTTCCATGCTTCCAGCACCAGTAAACTCGGAACCAGATACGGATCTGACCAGTCTAAACTGGTTGCACAGTTTGACGAATATACTTTCGGTGCCATCTTTGCCTACTCCTCCTGATTCACCTAATTCACCCACACGTTCAGCAGATCAGAACCCAAAAAAACTTCCACACAAAATCCGTTTCCAAATGAGTGAGTGTTGTCAATAGCAATTGAATACCGGTAGCTTCGACAACTTTGATTTATTGATTTTTCATTTCAGGTTTGGAAAGTGCCGAACAATACAAAAATAATGGAGACAAAAAACCGCCATTTTCATACTCTACGTTGATTTGTATGGCCATGAAAGCTAAAGGAAATAAAGTTACTTTAAGTTCTATTTATGGCTGGATCAGGGAAAATTTTTTGTACTACCGAAACGCTGATCCTAGTTGGAAGGTAATGCATAATATTTAATCAAATACAAAATACCTATTACATTTTACGATTTTTTTTTTCTGAAGAACTCAATCAGACACAATTTATCGTTAAACAAATTCTTCGTGAAAGTGCCACGATCTAAAGATGAACCAGGTAAAGGAGGATTTTGGAAATTTGATGTCGATTGCTTAGAAGGTGGTGCTCGACGTAAACGAACAAGTAAATATAAGCTCATAGTTATTTACAAAAAAACAAATGATATAAAGTATGTAAAGAGACGAGAGTGTCGGTAATCTTTTCGATTCACTCTTGATGCATAATAGTGTTGTGTTTGTTGACTAAAACTTATTTAAACAATGTATAATTTTGATAGCAATACTTTAATATTCTAAGTTAAGATAAAGTATTTTTTTTTATTTTTGATTCAATTTCTGATGAATGCCATTTTGAATGTAGGTTTTAATTTATAGCATTTATTTAGGATACAGGTTATTATATATCTACTATTTGCATAGTATCTATACATTTACAATTATATATTTATAATAATAATATTCATCACAACATTAATAATACCTAGGCAGTAATATTTTCTAAAAACGGATAAAATTTGCTGTGGCTAGAAAAACAAATACCTAACTAAATCTTAATAGCTAATAAGTAACTATCTATTTTGTTAAAATGTATAAAATAACGCCTTTAAACATAATTTTTTGGAAAAAACTCACTATAACACTATACATTGCGGCACTTAAATATAACGGTATGTCACACGATCGTTCGGTATGTTTTACTATTATTGGACCTTATTTGCGGTGTTTATGCAACGATAAGACGTGATCAATGACCGTTACATTTATAAAATATATCAAACTTAACCTCCGATCGCGTTGCACCACAGGTAGCCGGAGGCGGGCAAGTCGGATGCAGCAAAAGAACAACGCGAGTAAGGGCCACGGAGAAATGACTGTCGAGGACGAAAAAGCGCTCCAGTTGGCCGTCCTGTCGCTGCAAGAAGAGGAACAGCAACATATGGACAACAATTTGGACGGTTTCCATCAGCAGCCGATGATACTTCCTGTCGACGAGCCGATGGGCGAACCCGAGTTGATCTACAGCTGTTCGATAAACGCAGCCACCGTGGATCCGTTCATGTCTTCTGTAGTTGATTATACGATAATCGACATACCCAACGACCATCATCAGCCACAAATCGCCACGGACGACGAGCTGACCATGCTCACGAACTTGACGTGGGACGATTCGCAAATGGACCTGCTCGATTCGTTGTTAGACTCGTTGTAGACCGGCTTTAATAATAATTTATTATATTTGTGCAGTTGGTATGCGTTATTGGATCCTATATTATATTCTATGATATCATTGTCATTATTATACACATATTATTATTATATTGTGTTGTAATACCGAATCCATTCCGACATTCCGTTTCGAGTGTTTTGACGTGTCAAAGTGAAACTAGTCTTTTTATTTTTTATTTTTATTACTATATTGAATTTAACGTAGAACGAAACGGCGAGATCGAAAGTGTGATACAAACTGTTTGGATAGAGCTTGATAACTATTAGTGTATATTTAGATTTAATTACCCAAAATAACCGTAGGTAAGTCTCTAAAGACGTAGCTACCTATCTTACCAGTTTGCAACACAGACTTTCCGTTTCACCCTGTATCGCGAAAGGCAATACAAAAGACTTATATAGAAAAGTCACCCAATTAATCCTATATTAATATTATGTATTTATATAATAATCTATCTATCTTTTCTTTTTACATACCTATATGCATTATTGTATGTGTTAATTATTGTATTTTTCTGTTTAACTTCGTTTCATAAACGAGTCCTCATTCTATGTGTTACAATAGCGATTTAAATTGTATTTTTTTTTCAATAAGCACGAAACTATGTAATGTTTTAACAAACGAAAACTTAAAAATTTAAGTCATAAGTAATTATATAATATAATACTACCTATTACATAAATAAAAATCGTAACATATTAAGCTGAACTTAAATAATATACGTAATATATATTATTCTAATTTACAATATGATATTATTAATATTATACTTTGATGACATTATTAATGTTGATAACTGTAAATACACGATTAATGTGACTGTTGACCAAGTAGTTCGAATCGTGAAACAGCACCCTACGTTTAGTACGGTGCCCAATGTCTTGGCCGTTTCTTGTATGGCTGTGATCTGTTCGCGATCCAATGACGAACGCTGCGCATGCGTAAGAGCGTTGACGGCAGACAACGATAAATGCGATAATTGTTCTATTGACATCGCCTGTGATGGACACGATTTATGTATTTTTCAACACATAGTCTTACAAACCACTTGGACACCGTTCTATGATTAGAGTTTTCATTAGTCTTTACTTACTTGTAATACATTGTTCGGTAAACATTGGACACTGGACGCGGCCAACCCTTCGAATGCATCGGGCTGAATATCACGCACAGAATCCAAACCAGCGATTACACATCCGATTAATGCTATCTAAAAATATAAGTAAAAGAATACACCTCGAAAAAAATTATTTTATTTTTAAGCAGTGTTTATAATCGTATCTACCTACCTGTATAGCAGTCCATCCCGAAGGGTCGCCGAACGCGTCTCTACTTGTAGCGAGTAAGGCAAATTCTCTTATGATTTCTTCCGGACAATTTATAAGATTTGATATATCGGCCGCCGCGCCCCTTTGTATTATTTTTGTCACATAGTAATAATTAGAAAATGTACAATTGTTTTATATTCGATTGAATACTACCATTCAGCTGTATAGGCATTATATATTTTTAATATCAATATTTAAGAAAATAAATTATTACTTGTATGCGATTGGTTTGATCGCAGCTATATGTGATTTATTAAACACGCACAAAACTTGACCCAAAGCCGCTAAATCATAACTGCTAAAATCAGAAGGGCCTTTGTAACTCCATTGGTCTTCGATAGCTTGTTTTAAAGACATAACCTTGACAAAATTACACCAATCGATTATGAATTATAAGTGTACATTAAAATATTTTTGTTTTAAAATATGAATGCATTTATTTAAACAAAATTTGTATTTAATGTAATATTTACTTCAAGTACAAACTTCCAATACAATGTTTAATATTGTTCTTTAAACTATGAATTATTCCACAAGGATTCCCAAAAAAGTTTTTTATTTTTATTTTGTATATACATTTTAATATTTTAATATTTTTTCCATAATAATTAATGACTATAGAAATTCAAATCATTAATTTATAATTTATAGGTGAACTATCGTGATGTGAAGCCGTCTAGTTAGGTTGTATCAGCTATATAGAGGTCAACGAATTTAAATCTAAATGTTGGTGGGTCGCCCATCCAAACGCAACAATTAAAAAAAAATAGATGGATAATAATTATGGCATGCGTATACGAGGAACACTTCACTGATGATTATAGCCCACCACAATCAATATTAGATTTAAAATTGACTACACATTACCTAAATGAGCAGTAAAAATATTTTAAAATTATATACTATATAAAAAGTTGCTAAAAAAAGTTTCATAATATCGTCGTATCAAATTTGTAGAAATATCTCAGTTTTAACAGTGCATCGAGTCATTAAATCGTAACTTATTATTAATTTATTTTTAAATATTTAATGTTTACTATACTATAAATGATTAAAATTTATTTGTATACAATATATGGGTAGTATTATAGTGTATCGTTGCCATGTAAAGATGGCTGATCAATGTGTCACTTTAGTGTTAAAATTACCAAGAGATTATTGAAAACCAAGTTTTTACATAGTTTATTCTGTAGAAGTATGAATATTTGTCCTTCTGTGTGAGTTAGATACATAGTAACTTATTAGCATTTTATAAATGTTGTCTTGTTACCTATTATTATTATTCTGTTATTAAACTTAATTGAACTTAATCACAGTTAATTAAAATAAAAACTTTGAAAACAATATTAAGGCTAAAGATAATAGGCTTATTTACGCAATAAAGATGTTTTCTCAAGGATATGTACTCTTTTCTTAAGTAGAGAGCTGTTTAAATTTAAAACTCGTCCATAAGTACTTGCATTTAAATTCAATTATTCGGGAAAACAAAACGTATACAAAAGTCGTACATATTATGTAGGTAGAAGGTACCTATGACTTTCTTAATTTTAACGAATGTTATTAATCGCTTATAATTATGAGTACCTATACGTAATGTGCAAATGTGTGACAAACCTGTTCTTTAGAATAGTTTCTCCATTTTCCGAATGATGCTATTGTTTCAATATCCGTCAGAGACAAATTCATAAACTCTTGAGCAGGTATTCCTCTAGATATCCACCCTAACAATTGTAGCTCGTCTTCTGGAATATCGTCTGCTGTTGTATAAACCTAAACAATAATATAATATGTGATTGTTGCTTTAGATTCGACGGTTAACAAAACATAGAATAGGTTTATTATCATATTATATCTCTCTCACTTTCACTAAATCTCTCCACAACAGTTCAGCCACTCCCGTTTCCAATGGATCTTTTCCGAGTAAAATCAAACACATTTTAATCTGTGACTGATTATCGATGGATATTAAATCATCAATGTCTTCTTTAGACAACTTTCCGTTTTTTTTAATCAAAGATTCGTCATCACACGACTGTTTTGCTCCGTCTGTATGCACTACAGATACAAATGAAATAAGCAAATACACCCATTTGAGAGACATAGTACTACTAAACTGCATATAAAATAACGAAATTACAATGTATTTATTTGGCATCTAACTTTACTAATATAATATGTATACACAAATGTCCTCGGCATCGCGTGCAAAAATAAGGTTGACTATGTAAATAGTTAATTGACAGCTTAGATTTATTCTCGGTATTCGAAAATTCGATAAGTAGGTCCGCTGTATGGTTTTTTTTATACTAATAAAATCACTTTTTTATTTCTCATTATCTATTTTAATTACTATATGCATCGATTACACAGTACGTCAGACACATGTTTTTGTATAAATGTGGCGATCAGTCTTCTTTGTCAATAAATGCACATTAAATATGTTTGTATATAATATATTTGATAACTAATCACTAATGGTACTCGTAATAAATAATAATTGTATTGGAATAATGTAAGTCTAATTATTCAGTAAGATAAACACTGTAAATTCCGAAATTCTCAATACATTCTAAGCAAAAATAATTTCTTCTTAACATCTTTATTGATACCATAATGTAAGTTTTTTCAATAAATAGACTAGAGTAATGATATTAATGATTTCAAAAGTCTCGATAATGTCTTAAACATCTAAAATGTGAACACGACATTATAACTAATACTAACTATACAATACACCATCGTAAGAGGCAATAAAATAGCTATCGGCTATAGTGCTATACTACCATACTTCTAAAATAACAATTGTTTTTATTAGCACACATACAATTTAAGCCCTAATAATCAAATAAGTTAACAGTGATAAATGAACGCCACAATTTTTATTGACATTGAAATACTAAGAAAATTCCAAACATTTTTTTTAAAAAAATGTTAAGTTAAAATAAACAAAGGATAACCTAATGTACATTATTTACCATGGATGAAATACAAATGAATCCCAAACCTAATTAATAATTATATTATACTAAAATATTATTTTTGATAACTAAAATATAGCAGTAATAATAATGTACGCTATTGAATATGGAAAATATATACAATTCACGCAAACATTTTTATTTACTTTTTATAGAGTCTAATGCATTATAAATTACTTAACATGGTTCATTTATTATTTTAATTCAATTACGTGACAACAAAAAAAGTAGGTTAAATACATTTTCCAAAGCTTAAAAACATTAAAATAGAAACATCAAGCATATTGATTTACTCATACGTTGATTTTATAATTATTGGTTTATTATTGACGTATGCGAGTGTATAACTACAGCTTAATACAAACATAATTATATTTTTACACAAGGAAATAATAGTATGTTTTTAAACTATATTGTTTTTAGATTAGTTTTTAATCCAAACAATAATATTATACATGTATAATACTTGTGATGCAGTTTGAAATTTCTCCAAGCACTAATTTCTATGTTTTTGAATATCTGCAGAATAGGTAAAAGGTGGGTTCGCATATGAGGTTTTATTATAAGATAAGGTCAAATTTTAATATAATATGAATATGTTATACACTAGAAGATGCAGTGTTACGGAAGAAAGCATCCTGTCCTTTTTTGAATAAACATTCCAATTTCCAGTAAGAGTATATGAATAGTAAATTATTTTTTCGTTTTAAGTAGGCAGGTACCCATATATTTTTTGCTTAAAATGTTTAGGTTGATAAACTTGTTTGGGCGGCTTTGGTTTAAATGACATATTATGTTCTACAGCAAATGAAAAACAATTTAAATTTTCTATAAATTATAATACCTATTAATAGACGAGACTGAGACGGCTATAATAATATAACGTATAGAGTCTTAGAACAAGAATTCACGTCGATGCCGTTACTGCAGCAGAACTTACCGTCATTCGGTTGTATTTTATTATTATTATGCGCTTGTCAAGTTGTTTTTTTAATTTTCACATTTTCAAAATAGAAATAAATGCATATTGCTTGTAAACATATTCGTAGTAAACCAGTTGTACCTATACCCATACCAATACCTATATACCTTGTTACAGTAACACATACTGCAGGACCAGCTGCTAGTGCATAGTGCAGTGAACTCGTGTCTAGCTGTTGGGAGGGGATCTCGGACTACAAGCGAAGACGTATGGTACCTACACACTGTACAGAACCAGTCTCGTTTTGTAAGCATTCATCAGTCATCTTGCCATGGACGATGATGTGTACTAAGCCTAAGTTGTGAAGTATTATTATTCTGTCGTGGCAATATTCGTATAAAACGCTATATTTTTGAGGATAACCATCAACATTATTGCAAGGTAAAAAATTATTAATTAGGTATTGTTTTAAGGTGATTGTTGTATATTTTTCCGCGCGGCAGTATGTACCTACCTACGTGACAAAATTATACGCCTAGTGCATACTCAATTATAACCAGCTAACGCATTATATGATTATTAATATTGTATTGTATTATAAGTTATAACTATTTAGACTTGTACGCGTTATTGATAAACAGGTACGTTGATTAAAAAACAAATATGTATTGTGTTTGATTTAAATATAATTGACTGCTAATGGAGATAAAAAAAAGTATAAAAACCGGCTACTGCATGAATAGCCATGAAATTGATGTTTACTCGTGTATAACCTGTATAATGACATAATTTTGTAAATATTTTAATTTTTTTTTATACGTCACTAAAGCACAAAATATGTTTATACATTTATACCTAAAAAAAATGAAACTCATCTGCTTATAACACATTATATTATATACATAATGTATATATTAATACAATATATTATATAAATAATGTGTATAACTACCTACATGATATGTTTGTTTTTGTAATTTAATTAAGTTCCTCAAAATATGTTAACAAACTGTTTAATATGACACTAAGAATGTATTTTTGTTTGTTTTCACTGAGAACTAAACATATCAAACTACCAACAACAATTCGGAATGCTGTTATTCTTTCAAGCAGCACATTTCGTTGACCACAAACATTTCTTCTATTGTCACCTACATTTAGGTTAAATTACAGTTTCTTTAGCTTACTTTATATGTACCAGTAAATCATATTCTAGTAGTACGTAACTAAAGAAAACTTGTAGAAAAACTTTAATTTATTCCTATTACAGTCTAATAGTAAGTACCTACCTATTATTGAATTTTTAAGTATAATCCGATTAGTTTGTTTGGAGTTCGACAAATGTTACGATTTTTATAAAAAAAACCTTGGTCCAAATACTATATTATATTGAAAATAATATAGTTTTTGGACCACTATTTCTCTAAAATCATAACGGTTGACGGAATTCCGAATACCAATATGAACTAGGTAACCGGGTTTTATAATATTATGTCTTTGTATGCATGCATTACATAAATATTATTTAAGCACGTGTCAAATGTAGAACTATAAATAAAATAAATAAAGTTAACAGTATACAATTGTAAAGCAAAATGCACTTCTCCCTTCCCCAAAAAAAAAAACAATAATAATAATTTGGTGGTAGGTATGTGTGTATATGGTGTATATATCCTATAGCAAATGACAGTTTGTTGTTTCTTGAGTGTTAATTGTTGATTTCAAATATTTAAACCGATTCCATTTTATGAGTAGGAACCTGAAAAAAAGTATCAACAAAATATAGGTTATCGATCAATTATAACCTGTAAGTACGTTATAGTTTAAAAGTTAGAACTTGCATTATTCACAGACTCTAGCTAGTATTATAGTGTAATTTTGAAATTATCTATTTTATTGAAAAATACTTGATTATAATATCATCGAAAACGTTATAACCTAAAAGTATAACATTTCGCTTTTTCTATCTACTTATTTATAATAATGTAGGTCATGACAAAATATAGCTTTTTTTGTAACGAAGAATATTAGAATCATATTAAATTATAAAATGTAAACAATTTTAATTTGTATAATAATTGCAGTATAAAATATAGTTCACCAAATGTATAAATATTATAACAATAGTACACGTTTAATCCAAAAATTAATGATATTCGAATGATTAAATAAAAATACATCGTTAGAAATATAAGTTTGTAGGAAAAACGGACCAAAAAAAAAAAGACTGTAAACTTAATGTTCAGATCGGTATAAAAAAACAATAGCGTTCATATTAATACATCTGATACGAAATTGATGGACAAAATACTGCGGCAGATACGGAACACTTCCTATGACCTTTCTCTATGTATCCATTATATAACTACCGAAAATAATTTTAAATTTTCCTTTGATTGTCATTGATAAACGTACGTTCGCCAATTAGTTTTGACGTGTAAGCGACATGGCGATCGCTGCAACAACAATAATATTATCAGACGCGTGTGACCAGCTGTGACGTGTATTTGTATTACCCACACACCACACATGACCACATGATATTATTATAGTACATTCGAGGTAAATGTATAAACATAGTTTTACCTGCCACTTTATGTTCAATTGTTTTTTTTTCAGTTTCGTTATACCGTCCCGACTCCCAACACGGGTGTAATCGTCTCATACCCGTCGTTTATAATATAAATTTATAATATCATATTAATAAATACTAATAATATCGCGTGCAACAATGACAGTATCGTAATCATTGACTTAACAAAGTATTTATTTTCTGTGAGCATGTATTAATTTCAATGTCTTTGTCCTCAACTCTATACAATATTATACGTATTATATGTGACTTGAGTCACATACCTACCTATCGGGATCATCTGCAATGACATTGTCTATAAGACGTGAAACTATACGACTAGTCTAGAATTTCAATTTAAAGAATTAAAAATAATTTATATAGTTCACCGACCCGTGACAATGAAGGGTCAATCATCAAGAGTATTGCTGTTGCTCGCGTTCTTGTCTGCTGATTTGACTGGCGGCGAATCGTGCTACGAACCAACCGACCAGGATCCATACCTTTACTTTTCACACAAGACGGCCTATCAACTAATATTCAACTCAAAGTTCAAACCGGTGCCTTGTAAGTTTGCAGAGCATATACTCATATCGTTAACATAATATTGTGGATATTAAATTATAACTTACTAGAATTTCGATGACAACTCTTATAAATTATAATATATAATATGTGGACTTATATTTTATATTTTTGATTTTTCTCATCGTTTTTAGAATCATCGAAGCATCTTGTTTGTACCTACTTTATTTAATATAATATAATATTAGAATAATAATTAAATACTTATTTTATGATTATTATAGTACACCTAATAAAGACAATACCGCATAGTTAACTGTATTTTCAATTTAGATTGCCGACCGACATTTGTATGGATGTTTATCAGACCGGGCACCAGTTACCCGAATACCAACGAGTCCATGGCAATTCGTCAGTTGCATCTATTCAAAGATAGGGTGATAAGAAATCACGAAGAACGTAGAAGTACGTTTTAAAGTATTGAACTATTAAATGATAGGTAATATTAATATAATGTTATTTTAACTTCACAGATGGACATTTATGTAAAAACGTATTAGACAGTTTAAAACGTTGGGAATTTGAAGTCAATCCAACTTCAGAAGATGATATTTCCCCTCAAGGTAGGATGGACATGCAGCTACTCGCAAAAAGGATGAAAGACAAAATGAGTGAAGTTTTAGTAAAAGAGATCAACCAAGATACATTTAAAGTGAATAATATTAAAAGTTATTATAAAAATATAATTATATTTAAATCGTTGTAATAAGTATAGTAGGCACCTCACAAATTTAAAAAAAAAGTTTTATTGATTGCACAATTGTTCTTGTTTGTTAGATTTATGCCAGTGAAGACAGAAAAGTTATGAACAGCGCCGAGGAATTTTCTAAAACTATGTTTGGAGAAGACTTCAAATCCAAAGTTCCAATCGAAAAAATCGAAAACAATTCTAGTTTTATCGGGGTATTAAAAATAAATATATATATAATATTGCATTGAATTACTCTCGTTTTACTCATGATTAAATTGTGAACCTTCCTTAACCTTCAGTTAGAGTCTTGTCCTAAGTGGACTGATGCGGTCCACAATTCTGAAGCTTCGCTGTTTCGTAAATCACCAGAATACTTGGACATGGTGAGCCAGATGAGTAAAAGACTGGGTTTTCTGGAAAACATAACTGACAGTAAGTATACCTCTACAATATTAATTGTGGAGCTTATTTTCACAAGCCTAACACGTTTTATTTTTTATATGTAATTTCAGGTATAATTCATGCGATGTACGAATCATGCCGGTATAATAAAGCGCTCGTGATCGAATCTTACCCGGCATGGTGTGGCCTGTTCACTAGACAAGAGTTACAGGTGTGTGCGATAAGTGCTAACAAACCGATATGAATTTGATTACAGTTATTAATGTGTCTAATTTTTGTACTCAGCTTTTAGAATATTACGAAGATTTGGACTATTACTATAAATACGGTTACGGTTCTGAAATAAACACAAAGGTGGGATGTCCGATCGCAAAAGAGCTGATGGGATATTTGAAGTAAGATTCCAAAAGTATACTTGCCCATAATTCGTCATTTATAGTTATAGGTAACCAATTTATCAGATTTAATTATTATTATTGGATTTCTTCTTAGTGCTGTAGCAAAAAACGATTCCGATAGACCTTCGGCTGTATTTAGGTTTGGTTCTTCGGCCGGGTTGTTGACTACATTATTGGCTTTGGGCGTGGCAAAAGACACGATTCCTCTAACCCACTCCAATTACCATGCTCAGTATCGTCGTCAATGGAGAATGTCGCAAGTGGACCCATTTTCCAGTAATTTTGCCGCCGTATTTTACAAGTAAGCATAATATTATATTAAACTTGGTGTTGAAACAAAAGTGCTTTTTAGAATTTAATATGAAATAAGTTTTAACCTAATTTAAATTATCGTGTACCTAAGTAAAAATTTCTTTATTTCCATACTATTATAATTGTGATCATTAAGCAAAGACACCACATGAATATAACATAAAATCTTTAAATTGATTGCATGTACAGTTTTAGTTTAAATGTTGTTAAAGTATAGGTAAATCTAATCTTTCTAGTTCTTTATAGTTCAGTATCTTTCTGTAATTTCAATAAAAATTAAAAGTTTGCAGTTTCGGTCCATAAACAAGTGCAAGTTCATCGATTTGGTCTATATATTGTTTTAGTACCTTATACTTAATTACAGTTCACGGTATTGTATTGAATAGACAAATCCCCTATGTGCAGGCTATAATATAAGTTTTACGCCAGTACAATGCAAGTACTAAACTATCATATTATACCATTGATTAATAACCTATAAAAAATAAATTGTTTACCTACAATAATATATTATAAGTTATAATAAACCTAACTAACCTTATAACAATGTCATATTGACATATTGTATACTGGTGTATATTATAATACAAGACGTATAGGTACAACTATCGTTACGATCACAATACTGTTTGACTGTGCGTAATCATTGTTTATTGTTTAACCCGTTAATTTAAATTATTGTATGTACGCTAATATTATGTATTATTATACTAATATTATTATGTATCGCTGCAGGTGTGATCAAGGCGACGAAGAGAATAAAGTAATGTTCTACTTGAACGAGGGTGTGTACGATTACCCGGGTTGTAACGTCGGTCTGTGCTCTTGGAAATTTGTGGAGAACAAATTCAAAGACTATCTGGGACCAAATGGCTGCAACGACGAAGTGTGTCGCGACCGTAGTCGAGCGTCGGGTGTTCAGGGCGCCGTTTTGGTCACCGCACTGATTCCAATCGTACTTGCATACTTGCACGTTTGAATAGTATTACGAATATGACGTTTTTTCATTTGGCTGTGTCATAAATTATATGATTATTATTACATAAATATTATTTTTTAGTACTTTAGAACGTAGTCAATATTTAAATAGTTGAAAAATAATAGTAAATTTCATTATTTTCATACTATTTTTAGGATATTTTATTCTAGCAGTGTAATGTTACGAAGTTCCGTGGATGTCATTATACCTATGATATAATATTTTTATATTGTTGTTCGAGCTACTCGTGTAAATGTTTCTCAAAACACAAAAGAATAACAACACTCCCATCCGGCTAAATCCAACTAGTCATTATCATGTAAATTACTGCACTGACACGTCATACTTTTCTTTTCTGTCTATGGTTCAAACTGAAAGTCACTTTAATAATATACCTACTATTTGTTACTAAAAATATTTTTTTAGCTTTATCTCTATTTATTATTATTTTTTTATTTTTTTTACAAAATATTATCAGTGGAGACGTTATGTTTACAAAAATGATATTAGTAATATCTTATTACAAGCAGTACAATTATTTAATTTTACTACAGCTGATCATATTTCTATAGTATTATAACCATGATGTACCTAACTAAATACTCGGGATTGAATCATTTTATATTGAATAGATAGTAAAACTTCCCAAACAGCAGTCATGCAGATGATAAGTAAAATAAACTATAATATCAATATTTAGTTTTATCTAATAAAATACATAAACCTTACTTTTTCCTACTTATATATATTTCGACTGGTTTATCATTCTACGTTTGATCTCACAAACGGCATAGGTACGCTGGATTTAAGCTGAAACCTGATTTGATTGTAATTATGAAATATTTTACCTAAGTACAATGGTACATATTCTAATTATAGTTATTTTGTTCAAATTTATAATATATATTATACAATAAAAAACATTTAACACTTTAACATTTTGTGTATGTACTTATTCATATATATATTGTAAATTAAAACTAAAATTAAGGGCCAGTTGTACAGTCTGTGATTAAAGTTAATCACAGTTTAACCGGCCGAATTTGGCCAGTTAAATATCTGTTAACAGCTGATTAAGCGTAATCGGAGTTTAATCACAGACTGTACAACTGGCCCTAAATCCACAAATAGGTAATATTAATATTTAATTATTAGAAGTTAGCTAACAATCACCCGATCGACGAGCCGTAATATATCTGTGTATTAAATGAGACGCACGTTTTTGAATACTTGATGTTGCATTATACCTATTTGTATTAATATAAATGAAATATTTAAAATTACTTTGTTGTACCTGCAATTAGAAAAAAACAATAAAACGTATGTACAATTTGTTATAATCACATAATACATATTATACAGTTTATAAAAATCTGTTACTAGAACGATTAGATATTATAGTTGTTTCCTTCTGCATTAGCAACGAAATATTTTTTTTTCTGTGTTGAATCGATATTACAAATGAAGCAGGTATCAACTGTATATAGTGTATATATATTTGCATAGGTTACAAAATGTAGATAATGAATATTATTTCCGCAAGACAATTAAAAAACCACACCATAAAGCATTATGTCTGAAAATAACCTATAGATGATCAGCAAATGGCATATCGACTTTTTAAACATAAAGACAGCTATCTGAAAAACTGAACGTCACGTCGTCACCTTGGTTTAGTAAAAATTAAAACCCACGTACGTAATAGCACTAATTTAACAATAAGTTTCAAGTCTCTAGGGTCAATGTTTTTTTAATTTCAAAAAAATAACTAAAACTGATATATTGTGTAAAGTATCAAAACTCGTCAAAATTAAAAAAAAATGTATACTAATTGAAAGGTCCATTACATTAGCACCACCTTATTCAAAGAACTAAAAAAACCAATTATCGTTGATCCATTTGTACACATTTGTAATCCTAATATAAACGTTTTTCCATTATTAATAAAATAGGTATACCTATTTAGAATATCTATTCGAACAGAATTATATTGATAACAAATATAATATGTCTAGTATCTATTATAATTGAGATTGATGACAATAATCATTTTTGTTCAGGACTAAACAAAGGATTCTGAAAATATGTTGGAGATTTTTATCAACCCTTTAGCCATACGTGTCCACTGTCATGTCTTTGAACAGATATTTTGGATCACTTGCCCTAGACCTGGTTTGTAATTAAACCACATTGAACATAATAACACATCGAGTCTTGGCACGGTAGAATAATGAAAATGTATTTAAACTATAAACTATAGTACTACATTAGTCTATATAGCAGGGGTGGCCAAATCACGGCTCTCGTCACAGTCGTATGCGGCTCGCGGTCTTATTTACAAAAACCAAATATACGTATGTGAAGTTGGCCCACCCAAGTTATAGAATTTACTTCAAAGCACCAACAATATTTTGCAAGTAATTTGCAAGAATTTGCAAGCACAATTTTAGAATTTGCAAGTAACCGGTTTTTGAGAAATTTAAGGGTGGGCCAAATTCACTTGGCCCACCCAAGTACTCCGAATCGGTCCAAATCGGAACCAAACGATAGCTACTGATTTGCAAGAATTTGCAAGTTTGGTTTTAGCATTTGCAGTAATAGCTTGGATGGAAAATTATCAGCCAATTCTTTATACATAAATTTATATCACGACCGTCATTCTTGGCAAACTATTCTGAGGCGAAAGTGTTCATATCCACTTATTACAGAACCTAATACTGTTGAAGAATATGACTCTGGCAGCACTAGCTCTAAAACAGATGATGAATCAGATGGATCATCAGATGGTAAAAATATATTTAAATTTGATATTCCTTATAGAGACTTTCTTAAAATGAATCCCTGTAGTATAATTTATGGCAAAAAAAACACAAAAAAAACATATACAGTTCTAAAACAAGGAACATGGACAAATATAATTAATGATTGGTTCTTAAAATCTTGTAAGGTTCGTTGTTGTATAATATATAAACGCTGTAGAGTTACAAACAATGCGTCTAGAGCAAACCATTTTTTAACGTTCTCGGGAAAATGCCAAGACTGTGGAGCAGAAGCAACAGGGTGGGCAGAAGAAAAACCGGAAGATGGTATGCCATTAACAGTGAACATTATTTTATTAGGCGTGAAAAAATCAGTTCCACATCAATCAAAAAGACCACTGAATGGAGCTAAACGTACAGAAGTAGGATTGGACCTTATACACGATTGTGCTAGTAACTGGAGGAGGAATATTACTAAATCGCTAAAATTTGGTGATAAAATACCTGCCAATGTGTACAATAGCAATACACTTCGAAAATGCAAACAGCAAAAGAAGGATGAAATATTACACATTACCAATAAATGTCCCATTATGTCACTCATTGAATTAAAGTATTCAGTTTATTCTGGTTCTATTCATTTAATTTGTGCAGACCCATTAATTGTCCATTATTGGACACCATGTCAGTTAGTTATTTATAAACAACTAAGAAAATCATATGTCCGTCTAGCAATAGACGCCACAGGAAATGTAGTTAAGAAAATTAAAAGGACGAAAGACGGTTTATTATCAAGTCATATTTTTTTATATGAAGCAGTGGTATCAACAAATGAATACCAATCGTCTATCACACAGATGTTAAGCGAGAAACAAGATACGTTCACGATTTTTTCTTGGCTGGCACGATGGTTGAATGATGGGGTGACTGCCCCCCAAGAAACAGTTTCTGATTTTTCAATGGCATTACTTGGAGCTATTTGCCGAGCTTTTTGTGATGGGATAACACTACGAGACTATGTTGAAACGTGCATCGACATTTTAAGGGGAAGTCTATCTCCACGACATGAACTCCATTGTTATATACGAATAGATATAGCTCATCTAATAAAACTAGTATGTCGTTGGAAATGTTGGACAGAACAAAATACCAATCACGTTAAAGAATTTTTCGTAAGGTAATTCTAATAAGAAACTGATTAATTTATTTCACTAGCTTTAACTTCGTACTTTCATAAAAAAAGATAAACGTTTACGTTACGTGTGTGAGGTTGGCCCCCTACATTATCCAATTTTACACAACCCTTAGCTATTTGAAAGCATTTGAAATCCATTTTCAGAACTTGAATTTTTATTCCACTGGCAAGAACTTTTTTTAAGTAAGCGAGCCTAATATCCGTTTTAGATTTTATCTATTCAATTAAGATTTATTTCATGAGTTTCAGATTTTTTTATTCAACTTTGCTTTTTTTCTACGATTTACAATTTTTTATACAATTAATAGATTTATTTATTCTAAATAGATTATTTTTAAATCGATTATCAATAAAATGGATAAAAAAAATCTAAATAGAACAAAAATCAATGTTAAATAAAAAAAAAACTTATTTGAAATTTGGTGTGGGGATAAATTAACTTTTCACACATGCTTTAATTGCATATTCTTTGTATAATATATACACCTTAATTAACTTAAAATGATTTATTTAATGTTCTTTAAATTTATTAAATTGTTATACATATAGGTGCATTGTCTTATTAATAAATGCTGACTCAATTGAAGATTTTCAAAGTATTTTAATTGATACGTTAACTGTGGCATCAGGTCGTCATAATGGCTCATTAACACATAGCCCGTATGAAAATTGCCCAACCGAAAAATCGTTTATTGTATTGAAAAATAAAATAAAAGGTAATTATATTATTCAACTTTTCAAATTAAGTGTATTTGTTTCCTTCGTTCTTTTAACTGGTTTAAAATATATTTACTTTAAAAAAAAATGTGTTGTTCTAGAATTTAATATTACATTAAATGTATTATTTTTGTAAATTTTTTTTGTTTAAGGTGTTGAGCAACTTTCAGAAGTTTCAGAGATATTAGATCAACCAATTACAAAATTTGAGGATGAAGAAGAAAATGAAATTTTTGAAACAAATCATCAAACTTCATCTTCTCTTTTGAATACTTTTTTAAACAATATAGAAACAAAAATTAATTTGAATATTTCGTTGGAAGGTGATAGATTAAATGGTTACTATTTACCAAAATTCAAGACAAACGTATTAAGAATTTGTAAGAAATTTCCACTGTGGTCTAAGGTGATGTTGTCATATTTTCAGTCACCATATTCTACTGCTAAATCAGCATCAGTGGAGGGAGATTTTTCAGAGTTAAAAAACAAAATATTAATACATGAAGGTAGACCAATGACGGTGGACCGATTTGTTTCTATTCATATTCAAAGTCTAGAAAGTTCAATGAAGTTAGCAAGAAGTCACCAGCTATATGCAGAGAACAACAAAGTAGATCCAAATGTTGATTCTTTTAAAAATAGTCAAATCATTAGTCCAAAGTCCATTCCACGTTACAGTCCACATACCAGTTTGCATAGCAGCTCACATAACAGTTTGAATACTAGTCCACATAGCAGCCCACATAACAGCTTAAATAATAGTCCACATAGCAGCCCGCATAGTAGTTCATATAACAGTTTGAATACTAGTCCACATAGCAGCTCGCATAACAGCTCAAAAAACAGTCGCCATAGAAGTCCAGCAATCAGTGCATCAAGCAATTCACTTAGCTCGGACAATAGTTCTGTATGTAGTAATGATACCTTGAAAGAAGAAGAAACATGGAAAGGTCTAAAAAATTCACCTATGGGTCCTCTTATTACGGATAAAAAACGAAAACGACAAGCCAAGTATATAAATCCCTGCCCGGAAATTGATCGCATTCTTAATAGATCTAGAATGAGATCTCATAAAAATACACTGATTTTTAATGGTAATATTGCATCACAGTGTAAAATAAAAAGTCAAATTTATATTGCAACAAACACTTGTCCGTTTGATTCAGTTGTGGTTGCCATAACAGTGGCTTATAATGATTATCCTTATTATAAAGACTTCGTAGATAATACAGAAACCCAATTTTTGAAGTTTGCAAAAAATTTAGCT